TTATTAGAGACCCGGCCGCTATTGGAATACAGGCCAATATTAGAGAATTTACGGTATCTAGATTTGGATTTTTTTTGTAAACTTAACGTTTACTTGTAAACTATATGGAATACAACTGTTATATGATACAAAGAAAGGTGCTAAAAGTAATTACATCAGAAAAACTCAAATTAAGACTGTCTAGAACATCAAATAAATTAAAAAGAAGTCTTTGCAGTATTTAAAAACAATACATTTCCTTAAAGTAGAGATTCTACGTACCCTTTAAATGGTGCACTAGATGTATCTCCGTATAAACTTTAAGTGAAACTATGACATTCAGACCAGTATCATCATAATAATCTGGACGTTTAGTGAAGTGAGATTTTCTCTTCCTACGGTAAGGACTAGTTATTCGCTCAACAATAAGATCCAGAAGTAGAGAGTTATGTTTGAAACATTTTTGTACAAAATGTTACTTGGATTTTACCTAAACTCTAATATCCTAAAAGTGAAAGCAACTTTTATTTCCCTCAATACATGAGCAAGTTATCTTTTTGTTGAGGAAACTAAAAAATAATGCTTGGAAACAAAACAAAAGAATGAGATCGGGTTGAAGAAGAGAAGAACCGACTATATTAAGAGACGTAAAAGGTTAGTTATGCTTTAGATTATGTCAGATGATTCTACGTGAAGCATATAAAGAAAACTGTTTACTACACTTAAGATTAATATAGAAACAATATAGAAATGCAGATGAAAAAAAGGTTAAAACACCAAGACTTCTATCTCAAATAAAGTATGTTAATACTTACTTAAATCTTTGTGTTTCGAAAGACGTTTTTTCTGTCCGTCTCTCTCCCTCTTTGATCCAGGGAGACGGGAAACAGTCATTCCAGTCTGATTCAACAACATCCACGCACCGCCATACACACTCACTCACTCAAGTCCACAGGAAGAGACCCTTTTTATATTTTTTTTCTCCTTGCATAACTTGACAGGGATAATTAAAGTCAGAGTGGACACACAAATCTTGATAACATTCTGCAGCTTCTGGTAAGGAAAAGATGTTCATGTATTGCGGGAAGGAGTTGCTTTCGTTAATAGAAGCATCATTTGGCAGAGTAGGACTAACAAAACTGAAATGTGTGTCTGCAGCTTAATCCTAACGCTTATGAATATCCAATACTTATAAACGTTACATCCTTTAATAGGTTAAATTCCTAGATATCAGTATAGAGCCAGATAATATCTGGCAATAGGATAAGCATTATAAGTAATAGTTAAAGTTGATCTTTCAGGGTTTGCAGCAGCAGGGATTTGTTTCATTTAAATATCAGACTGTAGACCAGGCATCCCTAAAGTCGGTCCCAGAGGGCCGCTGTCCTGCAGGTTTTAGAGGTTTCTCTCCAGCACAGCTGATTTACATTAATAGTTGATTAGCAGGCTTTTGCTGAACGGCAATCATCAGCATCAGCTGTGCTAAAGCAGATAAACCTCTAAAACCTCCAGGACCGACTTTGGGGATGCCTGCTGTAGACCAATAAGATGAAAAGTTCATGATTTCTGTCTCCGATACGTAATGCAGATTGTCAAACATGTAAATTTCTAACAGTAGATTAGTGAATAAAACAACAAATTTTACAACTGGCAAAGCACCTTAAAGTCGTAGGGAAGCGGCCGTTCCAACTGTTGCATTCTGCAATTCTCCTGAGTGGTGCCCGACTTTACACGAGTGAATAAAGTGAATGTGATTGGTCGATTATTAAGGGGGCGGGATTGTTGTGGCGGAAGGTTCGCAAGCAAGTTTGATTGTGGCCGGTTTCTCTGAAGCATCTTGCTAACCAGTTAGCAACTTAGTGCTAGTAGGTTCCCAATGGGAAATTCCATTGGGACCAAGTAGCACTAAATTGGTGCCTTAGAAACGACGCTGTCAAGGAACGCTATGGCGCAACTCAATGGGAAAGGAAAGGATTCCAATTTCTGATTTCAACCGTTGCGTATATTAGCTGCAACGTATGAATCA